TGCCAGGAAGCTCTACGAGTCCCCCGGCGGTAAGAAAGGTTGACGGTTTACCGCCGGCGCCCAGTTGGACCACCCGACCAAAAGAGACAATGTGCTAACTTTGGGTCGGTTTTGCTAGTTTTTGAAAAATATTTGATTATTCATTTCGAGAGACCAGATCTTTACGCCGAGCATTGGCATATACAATACGTCCCCAGAGCAGCTCAGCTCTCTAGAGCCAGTTTCAGTATCGAAAAATTAGGGGGAACCGACATCAAGTTGACAACCAAAAATAATAATTCGACGTTTTTCTAGAAGTGCTCCAATAAGCTGTCTGCTTCCAATCTGAGCACTCTCACGCGTGCAAAGAGCTCTACGAGGTTCCCGGCGGTGACCAGATTGACGGTTCACCGCCGGCGCCAGTTGGTCGACCCGGCCAGAAAGGACAAGTGGTAACTTTTGGGTGGTTTTGCGAATATTTGAGATATTTGACCATTCATTTTGACTAACCAGATTTCGCACCTGAAGACGACTCTGAGGGCCTCTTCGTCTTAATATGAGCTCTGTAGGCGCATTCTTACTACTAAAACACTTGGGGGAACCATCATCATGTCGACACGAAAAAAAGTAAATTTTTCTCTTTTTCGTGAAAGGCTTCCAGAGGCTCTCTCTTTCGACTCTGAGCAATATGAAGCGTGGAAGGAGCTCTACGAGGTTCCCGGCAGTGACCAGGTTGACGGTTGACCGCCGGCGCCAGTTCCTGCGCTGGGTGGGGCTAGTTGGTCGATCCAAGCAGAAAGGACAATGTGGTAACTTTTGGTCGGTTTTGCTTAGATTTGAGAGATATTTGACAATTTATTTTTAGAAAGCAGATTCTTCGCACCTGCAAGCGACTATGAGGGTCTCTGCGTCTCAATATAACTTCTCTAGCAGCAAATTTACTATGAAAACACTTGGGGGAACCAACTTCATCTCGACATGAAAAAAATGAACGTACAATTTTCCGAGAAATGCCTCGAGAAGCTCTCTCTTGCGCCTCTGAGCACTCCCACGCGTGGAAGGAGCTCTACGAGGTTCCCGTCGGTGACCAGGTTGATGGTTCACCGCCGGCGCCAGTGTCCTTTGCTCTCCGGGTTTTGGATGCTAGCAAGTGAAATTCGTTTTGCAAATTTGAATTTTTGTTCTATACAGTGAATGATGGCGCTCTCGATGCTGCATTTCTGGGGACTCTAGCTGCAATATTCTGAGCAACATACTAGGGAAATTGTCTACGATCGAAAAGAACATTTCTTTATTTTTGAAGCTGGTATTGAGAAGCGTGTTTCTGCTATAATCTTGGAACGAACTTCTACTCAGAGCTCTATCAGAGTCCCGGTGGTAGCCTGGTTGACGGTTCACTGCCGGCCCCCAGTTCCAAGGCTAGTTTGGAAAATTGCTGACTTTGTCGGTTGAAATTATGTTCTCGAAAGTCAACGATTCGTGAGAGGTCTAGTATTTCTCCCGTGATATGTTCACGCTCGCCGTCTCAATCGCAGCTCGATATTACTGCCAAAACGCACTCAGGCGGGATTTGCTGTTTCTTCAGAGATGACGATGCCTTTCTTTATCTTTCCCCTCCTTCTCTTCCTCGTGATCCTGCTCCTCCTTCTCTTCCTCCTCCTCTTCCTTGCCCTGCTCCATCTTCTGCCTCCTCGCACCTTCTTCTCCTCCACGTCCTCCACCGCGCCCTCGCGCGCGCAATGCGAGATTGCCGCGGCTGCATTCCACGAGAAAGCTTTACGAGTTTCCGGCGGTAACCAAGCACGGTTTACGGCCAGCTCCCAGCTCGGGCCCGGGGGCGCAGCTAGTGATTTGTGAAGCTTCTTTAAGCGTGAGCGGTGAAGCTAGAAGAGTAATTCCGGCGCGCTGGGGAAGAAAGCAAGTCTAAAGCATCTAGACGCCTGCACTCGGTCTGCAACCAGAGCTGAGTCGCAAAACTATTCGTACTCTGCTAATTTTTCTCTGCAGAATTAAGAGAGATCATCGCATTTTTTTGAGGTGCCTCGAGCTGCGGATGAGCTACAGAAAATCATCAGGCACTATCCAGATGCCCGAACTCATCGCGCTTCGAGAGTTCGAACCAGAAACTATGTACTCTTACGAATTTTACGAGAGATCATGATGTCTTTTCCCCTTTCTTTACCCCGCGTCGCACGCCCGCTTTCCCCCGCCTCCCCTCCGAGCCCCCCTGCGTCCCGTGTTCCCAGCGCCGCAGCAGGCACCCGCTCCGCTCCGCGGCCCTCCTGCCCCGAGCCCCCATGCGCTCCCAGCGCCCCGGGCCCCGCCCATTGCCTTCTGCGCCCGAACGCTGTACTGCAACCGGCGGTAAACCGTCAACCTGGTTACCGCCGGGAACCTCGTGGAGCTCTTTTCTTGCACGGCGATCGTCAGAACACATGGAGAAAGCTTCTGGAGCGAGAAACGAAAAACTCGAAACATCACGTTTTTCTGTTTTTATTCAACGTCGGTTCCTCCAAGTGTT